TTTTGGGGAAGTGGCAATATGGGTCTTGAGAAAAAAGCATGGAAAAAATTGGAAAAAAATGTGGAAATGTGCCGTGGGCATTGTAAATGTGTCGGAGGCTTGAGGGTGCTCGTTGGAGCCTCGAAAAACGTGGTTCTGGCCTTGTTTGTGTGGTACTTGCTGTGCCCTCCTACAATGTATGTCTCGAATGTGCTGCAGCAAGGGGACTGCAATGGTCCCTCAACCTTTCAAAGGACCGTGTCATGGGTCCTCCGACAAAACATCGGATGGGCTGTACATGCATGGTTCAATGATATATTTATGGGAACCGATTCGGTTTCCGAACACAATGAGAAGCTTTTGTGGGTCCACAACTGACTGAAAGCTGAACACCTGTACATCAGTAGGAAAAAGTTCGAGCCGTTTGCAGCGGTTCTGGACATCCTAGGATGTAAGGTGGATGGCCATGGAGTCCATGCGGACTCTGATAAAATGGCAAAACTTCGCGACTGGCGAGTACCTGAAGATCACTGGGAAGTACTACACTTCCTGGGACTCATTGAGTATCTCGCCCGCTTCATGCCAAACGTTAGTGCATATACAGGTCCGTTACAGATGATATGCACCAACTACTTACCATTCTTCTGGACCCCATTACGCCAGAAGTGTTTCGATGAGATCAAAAATCTCGCCTGTAAAACACCGATTCTGAAACCCATCGTCTGGAGCACCCCTATGGGCCTCTCTGACGATGAGCAATCGAGGTTCCAAGTCTGGGTTATCACAGATGCCTGCCCAGCAGGCGTCAGTGCTATTCTGGCCCAGGGCGCGAAATGGGAAACCTCCCACCCTGCGGCATTCATGTCGAAGAAGTTTACTTCAACACAACGTTCATACTTTGCATACGAACTGGAGGCACTGGGAGTCCTGGAAGCCCTGTCCAAATGGATGGATGAGCTAACAGGTGGCCGAAAATTCATGGTAGTAACGGACCGTAAGGCCCTGACATACTTCAAAGAGAAGCAACACATGTCAGGGCACCACATAAGATGGCAGAATTTTTTCTACGGCTTTAACTGCGACATAATCTATGTCAAAGGCCATAGGAATAAAGTAGCAGATGCGCTGAGTCGCTACTATGAGTCTTCATGTGATGAAGACTTACATTATGATGAATTTGTCTCTGCAGACATCCACATAGACAAATTAAGGGATGATCTTGTCAGGGATGCGTCCGGGGTCGAGGCGGTCCGGGCATAGCGTCCGGTGCTGAGGACCTCACGGGGGGTAGATCGGGCGTGCATACTGGCAGGCCCGATGCGGGACAGTGATCCCTGGCCACTTAGACTGAAGTGGGAATGTTGAGTTATTATTAAAAAGGGAAACTATGCTACTTACCTGAAGTGGGAATGTTGAGAAGAAGGTTACTTCTTCAGTTCCCACCCCAGGTGTGTTTATATACATGCGGCTTGGGTCACATGAGGTCCACCACGTCACCCTGCATACAGCCGCGGTCACCTGGGTGTCCCCATGGGGGATCCCAAGGGTGTATGCTGCACGCGCGCGCACTAGGTTGTGCCCTAGAGCCATCCAGGGTCGTCCGGGGCTAGGCATGTCATGTGCATGTCGTGGGTGGGTCAATAATACATAGATATAAGGGAAAGGTCGTCCATGTGGAATAGAAATAGAAATGGGAGAGGGATAGAGGGGGAAGAGATATGAAGGAAGGGTGCAGGGTGGGAGAAGGGGTACCGGGTGAGGTGGGTCCGGGTGGAGGCGGGTCAGGCGGGTGTGCCCTGACAGATCTCCCCTTAAGTCGCATTGAAGAAGCAGAGGAAATGTTATATTTCCATCGCCTCTGTTTGAAACTCGCGACGACCAGAGTTGGAACAGAAGATTGTGACATTGAAGCCACGATCTTGGACCCACCTGAAGACCCTTCAGGGAGGAGCATGCTGACGCTCACCAACATAGTCCCTGAAGAAGGAAGTTTGAGAAGCGTAACAGAGGAAGAGTCCTTCCTTGATTCCGTGAGGAAAGGCTACAACAAGCAATCTGCTTGGCGTGGTATATTGGAGAACCTGTCATGCTTCCCCAAATTCAAGGTCTCCAATGGCCTTATCTCAAGATTGAATGAGTCGGGTGCACCATGTCTGGTCCTCCCGGACGTCATTCACAAAGGGGAGAGGGCAACTGGTATTGCCATCAAGCATGCACATGAGATCCTAGGGCACCTAGGATCCCATAAAACCCTAGAATACCTGCACCGCTATTACTGGTGGTTGACTATGGTCCACGATGTGGAGAGGTACATCTCCACATGCGAAAAATGCCGAACCACCAAACGAACGATGCAGAGGAAGTCTGGGCTGCTGTGCCAGCTGCCCATACCGGAGACCCCTTGGTCTTCGATCTCAATGGACTTTGTTGGTCCATTTCCATCGAGTTTGGACTATAACTACCTATGGGTAGTTATGTGTTGCCTGACTTCACAGGTATATCTGATACCTGTGAAGACAACAATCAATGCCTTGGAACTTGTGTACAAGTTCCTCAAGGGCGTTGTTCGCCTACATGGATTACCAAAGTCAATAGTGTCCGATAGGGACACTAAGTTCACGTCCAGATTCTGGACAGAACTACACAGACTCTTGGGGATTCGTCTGAAGATGACCACTGCCTTTCATCCCAAAGGCGATGGTCAAGCTGAACAGATGATCTAGAGCGTCATCCAGATCATTCATGCCGCAGTCAGACCCAATCAGCATGATTGGGTCCTAAAACTGCCTCTTACCGAGTTTGCAATAAACTCGAGTGTTAACAAGTCAATGGGGTATGCCCCTTCGAGCTTATTTATGGGATTATGCCACGTATGGTGGTAGAAGTACCACCTACAAACCTCCCTGGAGTCGGTGCTTTTGCACAACAAGTGCTAGATAATCTCCAGGGAGCTCATGACTCGATTATAAAGAGTCGTGTAGAACAGGCCATCCAGTCGAATAAGCTCAGGAAACCTCACCTACCTTTCGACTAAAAACCTGAACCTTCCTACAGGATGAGCCAAGAAGCTCCTCCCTAAGTTTGTCGGACCATACGAAATCCTCAAAGTATTCGAGGATTCATCTAACTATACCCTCAAGCTCCCACCAGAGCTTGTGAGTTGGGGAATATTCCCCAAATTTCATGTTTCTCATCTGGCCCCTCATGAGCCAAACGATTCATTACTGTTCCCAGGATGGGCTGCCCAAGTATTCTATGACTTTGGCAACGATCCTGAACGGGAATATCAGGTCCAAGAGATTTTGGACCATGCATGGGACACACATGATAGCCTGTGGTTCCGTGTTAAATGGGGCCTTGGGGATCTCACTTGGGAACCCCTGTCTCACTGTGATGAACTCGCTGCATTGGACGACTATCTAATGTTACATGGTGTCGATGCAGTCAAGAAATTAAACAGGGAAAGCCGCTTTCCCTTGCCTCCTATACAAAGTGCTGCCTCGGCATCTCGTCCCTGCTGTTCCCAACAGCCTGCCTGCTTGGGAATGGTCCTGCAGCCATCAGAAGGCCGTTTATGGCATTAGTTGCCATAAGTGGAAATTGCTTCCGTGGGTTCGTTAATATTCCCACGCATGACTTCTTATCTCCCGCCATCATGTCTGATCCGACGAAGACTACTGACGTCGGTCGCAGGCGAAGCCCATGCCCCTCTAACAATGCCATGGACGCTGATGTGTCCATGCTGTCCCTTGACTCACCTCATCAGCTGTTAACGCCTGGTGTTGATGAGCTAGACTCTGTACTCCCCCTGGATTCGTGACCAGCGGACACAGCGTGTTATGGGGATGGGGGAAAATCCCCATTCCTTGATCCGTTCTTATAGTGGGATGATGAAGGTCATATCTAGTCTGTACCATAATGGGATATGTAATCGATGAGTGATCCCAGTCTTGCCCGGGAGCGGACAATCGAATTCCCATCGATCGTGATTGGTGATGTAGTGAGCTATTAAGGGATTGATGGTAGGTAGTTGGAGATGCCAGGACGGACGGGTCAGCCATGGGTACTTGGCGCTCCTCAATGGAGCGTACCGTGTGCAAGGTTGCGACTTGTGAGATGGGTGAGAACTTCGTATAACTGCCATTGGGTACTTGGCGTTCACAGTGTGAACGTACCGGTAGCGGGTTGATATCATAAGTGTGCAATGAGGATTGACTAACAGGGCCTTCGGTGACTTGGTGTTCCCAAAGGGAACGTACCGTTGGCAGGGAAACATGATGACTGACGAAGGAGGGAACAGACGGTGGATGGGCGGCTACTTGGCGTTCGCATAGCGAATGTGCTGGCATCACGGGAAAGTGGGCCTCAGAGTATTCACAATCTCCATGATCGTGATGTGATGTCGTATGTCGAGCACTGGGGGGAGAGCGGAGTGATGAGGTCCCATAGGGTACAGATTCCATAGGATGATACACATGTCGAGAGTCTTCGACTCGCGACCTCGAGTTCTCACGGCGAGGGCTGTTAGAGGACTCGACATAACCAGACTTATAAGACATGTTGAGAGTTGTACAGTCACACGGGTTCAGTTGAGTCACAGGGAGGGTTGTTACAGAAGACAACACACAAGACAGTTGTAGAGCAGTTGTTAGTTAGCAGGAACCGCCTTCGGTGGTTTCCATACAAGACGTGTGACTATCTACAAATGGTAAGGTCGTGGGAAATCCCGCGAAACACAAGTAACCTCGGCCAGCACCAAAACCCCAATGGGGAAAGCTTTGCATGAGGGGGGGGAAGGGGTAGAACGAGTAAGGAGGGTAGGGTATCGGGATAGAGGACGAAAGGGAGAAAGAGGGGGAGCGATAGAGAGGAGAAGTCTTTGACTATGCGACGGATATGGTTGTTGGAGACTCCGTATCCATAACACAACGCCTATTCCAGCCATATCTGGCCAGTCGTCCCCTGCCACAGGTGAGTTTACTCAGTCCCAAGTCGACTATTCATCGAACGAGCCCCAATACATGGGGCAAAACTACGCCCTAGAAATGATGGCACCTATGCAGGCGCCACCATACCCAATATTTGCCCCAGGCATGTGGGGGTATAATCCCCACATGCAGCGAGAGCCGGTGAGACCACCCATTGCAGCCTCAAATGACTCAATACTAGGCAACCTTCTTAAGGAAGCAAGCCAATGGGTCCACCTCTTGGAAGGTGAACTCTCCCAATCTCATGACGAGGCCAATAACCTCAGAAACGAGAATAAGGAATTACGGGAGAATGTCCATGGGCTCGAGATCGAGAACGTTTGTCTCAATCTCAAGTTGAGAAACTCTTCCCATCACAATCATGGCTCCGAGACAAGTGCGACAACCTCGAAAAACAGATTGATCGCATGGGAAAGGAAGCTAACACCTACGAGGGCTCTCACCCTCTTAAGATCCCTCACATGTCGAGAGTAGGTATGCCACCCGTACCGTCTCAACACAGCCAGCATAGGGCACCAGTGGTCCCTATGTCTGTTTCGAATGTGGAGGCACATAACCGTGCTGTGAGACCTCCTGTCCCAACAAGGGTAAGGGTTCCTCTTGCTGGCCTCATGGACAGCCATTATGGTCACCATGCGGCTCCCATTCCTCCCCTGGGGCCTCAAGGGCCCTCATCTTCTTTTGGTGCCATGATGGTGCCTCCTCCTCCCCAACCCAGCAAGGCACCTAACTTAGTCCCAGAGGGGTATTCATGGTTCACTGAGGCAAATTGCTCTCCTGCTGCTGGGACCTGGAGAAATGTCCCTATCCCAGGCACGTTTTTCCAGGGTGACTTCCGCTTTGGTGTCACTATCAGTGGCCAAAACTGGCCTGTGTCAGACAGTCGTAACCACCGCCAAAAGTGGTGGAATGACTGGGTTCACCTGTTCTTAAACTCGATTGAAGGGTTCAAGTTCATGGTGGACTTGAAATGGCTCGACCATGAAATGAGGAATGGGTTTGACAGCACTTCGCTGGAGGCTCATCAACTTCATGGTTGATTCTTCGACATTAAGTTCGTGAATGGACAGAACGTGTCCGCCACTGAACTCGATGGATGTTTTGGGGATTGTCCCCGAAATTTCGAAAATACTAACAAGGCAGGGAAGAAGTATCTTCCTTGCTGCCTCTGGAAACACTACTGCTCAGAAGCGGCACAAATAATGAAGGCGACTAGCACCACTGCATACAACCTTTCCAGGTTGCAGGTAAGTGACCCTAGTTCTGCCATTTCGGGACCCCCCCAGGTTCCACCTCCTCACTACACAATGGTGGATAATAATCCACCGTTGCCATATTCGCAGGTAATAGAACCCACCCTGCCCCATAACCCCATTCCCCACACTGAGGGAATGTTGGTGGACAATGGTGTGGTAGAAGAGGCCCCAAGGCCGAGACATTTCCCGGCAGCCCAATGGATGCAGGCCCCCTCTGCTGAGAATGCAGTGGCGGGCCTGTCTAGAGGGCCCCAGGCTAGTAGGTCCGTGCCTGCCTCAAAGGGCAAAGCCAAGAAGGACTGATGTCCCCTTGGTAACCCCTGTCCACACTCGATGAGTGGGATGGGGTGTTTCTTGTCCAATGAGCAGAAAAGGTCTAACAACCTTGGCTGCCTAGTTTAACTTCCACAAGAGCGTTGAAGGTCTGACCACCTTTGTTGCCTTCTATACTTGTTCCAGGAGGCTGGGGTTTAACCACCTCTGCCCAATTATTCTTGTTTGATTGAGTAACTGGGGCCTAACCGCCCTGGCTACCACCCTTCTCCTCGCTGAGCATCTCAGGTCTAACCACCTGCGAGGCCTGCGACTCTGACACAGAGTGAATTGAGGTCTAACTGCCTCTGTTGCCTGTGCCTTGGCATCCACAAAGAGAAACTGGGGTCTAACCACCTCTGTTTCCTTGTGTCTATTGTTAATTACTTTCTTGACGAATGCGTGTTTGTCACATTTCTTGTTAAATTTTGTATATCTTTATTTTTTGTTCAAATAGAATTTTTTTTTTTGATTCTCATTTGCGATATTGAATATCGCAAGGGAGGAGAGTGTAAGGACTTACAATGTGTACCCACACATTGTCTGTCCTTTCCATACTTCACATCAAGCATGACTGCAGTCGCGCTTCAGTAACATAAACAACCTGTATAATATTAAGCTGCATTACATCATGTAAATACACATATATAAGATGCGCAGGTAGGAGGAAAGGCTCCTCAGCCTTTACTCCCCCATTAACAATATAGCTCATTAAAGCGTATTTGTGTGACAGACCGGGAGTGTGAGGTGCTTATAACCATGTGCTTACATTTTGTCACGGCCCTGCAAAGTCCCCGCCCTTCTACCACTTCCATCACTTAGCGGCGCCAACAGTGGTTCCTGTCTACAGCCCCGTAGCAGCGCCTCCTTCCTTCTCCCACCACCACTTGAGCTCTTCAGCCATTCGGCCGATACCGTTTTATTCTTATTCATTCACTCAACTTACTAGCGGTCAATGTTGTTGCCGCTGATCCGCTCCTTATTGACATTTGGTTTATTCCTTTATTGACACTTGGTTATTCCTTTATTGACATTTGATTTATTCGTATATTGACATTCTGATCCACCACCATATTGGCACCTAGATTGTCGGGCTATCCATTCTGCCTCCCAACTTTGCCGTCCTCTGTCCCATTCATTTCTTCTGTTCCATTTCCCTGGTCCTCATCGCTCTTTTAGTGCTTGCCATCCCGCAACCGGCCCCTTCTCTGTTCTCCTTTCATATTTATACTTGTAGTTTACTGTCGATGTACTTCAGTTCAAATATCGACTAGAATTCCCCCCCAAGTACTCTCATCTTAAGTTCACCTCTCAGTTCCATCTCCGCTTAAGTCAACGTCACCACAAGGTACCTCCTGCTAACTTGAAATACGGGACAGCCTAGAACGCGTGGTGCAACACTCCAGCCAAGTCGTTGAAGCCGAAGTCCCAACCCCCACGACGCCTTGCAACAGAGTAGCTCATTAGCTAAGTGTCCACTCACGCTGCTGTACTCCGCTCTGCTTCCTGCGAATACCTCAAATACAGTTTCTGACATATTTCCCCTTTTGTCACTCTTTGTTTCCATATTTCCTTTTGTTGGCAAGGTTTGCCAACATTAACCATTTGTCCACTTCTTCATTCATTAATATTGCGCTTGATCCACCACTCCTTCTGGGCCAGTCCATCTAGTTACTTGTGCTTATAACACATGTAGGTTACACCGGATGTACCTCAGTTCGTATATTGACTTGGATTTCCCCCCCTAGTCTCTTCTTTACATTGTAAGGCTTCTGTCTGAAATTGGGACAACAACATAAGAACGAAGTGCAGCACTCCACCCAAGTCGCTGAAGCTGAAGTCCTGCCCCTCCGACCTTATGAGCCTGGATGACTTCACACACCTTGCAGATCATCCAGATACGCATCCAACATGTTCCTGACAGAAGGGCCAGTTGGTCCGGTGCAGTCTGGCACAGAAAAGAGCAGGGATTGTCAAACTAAGTAATGGACAAGAACCCAGGAACTGGAAGCGAGGAATGAACAAACAAACAATGAGTGGTGAGGGTTATTGATGGGAAGAACAATAGGACCAATAACCTAGTGTCAATAAAAGCGGATCAAACGCCAATGTTAAGTGAATGAGTGGATAAACATAATAGGCCCTTGGCAAGGAATGAATGTATGCTGCCAAGTGGCAAAAGGCCAAAGGAAAAGTGGGGTCGGTGCATGGCACCGACACAGGTCCATGAAATGGGACATGGGAATCAGCGCGGCACTGATAAGTCTGCAGACAGAGGGTGGTCCATCAGTGCTGTCACAAATGAGGACAGCATGATGGCCAGCAAAGGTATGGAGGGGGGTGTTGACCTGACCAGAGGTGTCAAGGGCAACCAGAAGTGGGCAGAGGGTGCAGAGATGCATGGGAGTGGTGCATGGCTGTGACCACATAGTGGGAAGCAATGAGTGTGGTTCAGATGGAGACAAGGCAGGCATAGGAACTGGAGGGACTGAATGCCGGGAGTGCCAAGGGCTCGGGAACTGGAGGTAAGGTCGGAATGCCAGCAGGGTCTAGGTTCTGTTTGTTGGCCAAGTCTCATGCAATAAGGCAGGGGGCCAGACATCAGGTTGGGGGCTGGTTAGGATGGGTTTCAGGTTGGTGTTAGAATGGGTGGAAACGGACGACTCCAGAGTGGAATCGGAGACTTAGCGTGGAGGGACCTTGGCCTCAGCGACTCAAGCGGAGCGCTGTGCCATTGCTGTTTGTCCATTTGGTCCTTAATTTCACAGTAGGTGAGCAGGAAGTCTCTTGGGGGCATTTCAGGTCGATTTCGGACTAAAACCAAAACGAGTATGTACAAGCGCCGATATATATAATGGAAGGGGCAAAAGCACAAAGAGAACAAAGGGTGACTGAATCGGAACGAAGACGTCCGAACGGGAACAAAGGGTAGAGGGGGCAGAGCGGTACCGAAGGTCATAGGGCAAGACCTGTGATACGTCCAAAAGGAGGTAGAGAGGGCGAGGCCCAGAGGGGCAGGAGGATGAGGGGAAGTGGGGATGATGACTAACTGGATAGAGTAGAAAGAAGCAGTAGTCCAAATAGGGATGAAGGGAAAATGCGAGAAATACATTACAGGCGGCGAGAGTGCCGAAGGCGGTCCGTGAAGCTCGGGGGTTGCGGAGCTTACGGAGCTTACGGAGGTGGGGTTGGAAGTCCGAGGAATATTGGCAATGGTGTTTACGTAGTATGAGGTCACCAATGCAATGGACTAAGGCCGAGGTGGAGTCAAAGTCCGAGGTAGGGACTATGACGGAGGCTCGGAGTAAGGTACGAACGGTGTCCGAGTGTGAAGTACGGAGCAGCGGTGGACGGTCGTAACTTGGCGGAAGGGTAACGGAAGGAGGAGAGAGGGGACAGGTAAGGAAGAGGGAGTGGCGGAAAGGAGAGTAGTCAGGTCCGAAGGTGAGTATCGGAACGGACGGGGGAAGCGTAGGGGGATGACGGGAGGGTGGAGGTGTTGTGAGGGGGGAGCGGAGTTGTAGGAAGGGTGGCAAGTGGGGGGATGTTCGGTCTGAGATGAGTATCGGAACGGACGGAGAAAGGGTCGGAGAGGTAAGAGGAGGGGTGTGTTGCCAAGACCGAAGGTGAGTATCGGAACGGCAGCGGTAGGTTATGACTCCGGAGGTGAAGAGGGTGGAGGTCCGGAAGTCAGATCGGGGTCAGGTATGCACGGATATGACAGTTGGCAGATTCGCCTATCAGCATTGGTTCACCACTGACAGAGTCCTGGGATTTGTCGGTCGTGACACATATCCACACTACTTGACCTCAAACTGTTATAATCACGGCATTGTAGCCCGACCTCTGAGCACAATATCACAGTGTCATTAGATATCAGGCTCTCAGCTCACATTACACTTATATACATTTCTGAGTGGCACAACAGAACAAAGGCCAAAGCGTTAAAGCAGTAAAACTTCCCATAAAAGGGAACAATACCGTGGTGACAAAGGGCATGGGAATGCCACTTCAACACTTCCCCTCATTCCGATGACCTGTCATGACCAACAAATCCTGGGGCTCCATCAGCAGTGAACCAATGCCGATAGGCGAATCCACCAACCCGAAACCCATCCTGACCAGCCCCCAACCTGATGTCTGGCCCCCTGTCCTATCGAGTGAGACTTGGTCAACAATCCGACCCCAGACCTTGCCAGCATTCTGACCTTATCTCCAGTTCCCAAGCCCTTGGTGCTCCCAGCATCCAGTTCCTCTAGTTCCTCTTGTCTCATCTCCATCTGAACCACACCCATCACTCTGCTATGTGGTCACAGCTATGCACTGCATCCAGACCTCTGCCCACATCTGTACCTCCACCCACCCCTGCACCCCTGATGCTTCTGGTTGCCCTCCACACCCTGTGGTCAGGTCAACACTCCCACTCCCCTCAGGACCTCTGCTGGTCATCATGCTGTCCTTGTGTGTAAGGCCTGGTATGGGGGCCAGGCTGGTTGACTCCTTAGTCCTTAGTATGTCGAGATATAGGCTGTAGAGAGCTATGATTCGACATCAGGTGAGGGTAAAGAGTGAAGTACCCTTTACCTGAGCCCGAGCCATACATATGTAAATACAATGTATACAACATGGAATAAAGATCAATAAAGAATGTATACCACTCCACCATCCATTCCTTACACCCCCCCAAGCTAGAATGACCTTTGGGTCTTCAAAACCTGATCCGAAAGGGATGATGGTGGAGGAGATGCTGGGTGAATGGAAACTAAGGCAGGTCCTTAGTTGAACCTTGGTGAATCTTGACCAGTGGACTGTGAGGTTGGGCAGTGAGCAGTGGGAAGGAAAGACAAGGCTGCAGGTTCTTGCCAGTGACTGCAGCATATGTCAAGATGGGAAATGGAATATTTTTTGGTGAATTTAATGTAATTTCCGCAGGCAATAATGGAGTAGGAATGACAGGGGAAGGGAGAGTTGTTGAACACCGCTCAGATCAGCGCTTCTTCCGGCCTCAGCGACGATGACAATGTTTTGATGTTGTTGACATGTTGGACAACATGTTTGTAAGGTCGGTGTAGGTGCCAACCTTGTATCTCCTCACTCCTCAAGTCCGTCAAAGATATAAGCTTGAATAGAGCTATATTTCAATGAGGTAAAGGAAAGGAGTATCCCTCCATTCATCATACCCCGCATCATTTATATATGTAAGTTACATGTGTTGTATAATATTTATAGCAGGGCATTCCTTACAATGTTGGATGACGTTGATGACATGGATGGTACTGGTGACACATTAGATGGTGCTGGTAACATGCTGTAGGAGAAATAACGGTCACACTAAGGAAACCCATTATGGAAATATGCCAGATAAATCACAAAACCTCATACAACAAGTAGATATGAGAAGATAGAAGGACCTGAATTTTAATGAATCTTTATGAATTTTTACGAATTATTATGACTATACACGATAAATCAAAAGAAAGAAAATTAGAAAAAATACTTCAAGCTTACCATCAACGAGACGGAATTCTCGGGGGAATTTATAGCAAATATTAAACAAGGAATTAGGACAATCGACCAAGATTTGACTATAAAAACAATCAGAGAACCTCCACGGAAGCTACTTTCCCACATCTGCACACGTAGCCAAGGATGGAAGTACCACGGAACAAGGATTCCTCAGGAACTAATGAAAATATCAAAGTCGTGTCTATAACAGGAAATGTAGATGTCCCCCAAACGGACCCAATGAAAGTAATTACAGGGGAAACTACCCATAAACGACGGAGATATGACTAAAACTCCTGCAAAATGAGGACAACGTCTAAAAGGCAAGCGCGAAGATTAACCAGTAACGACCGAGACAAGCTTGATAGCCCATTAGAAAGGAAGGGATCTAATCTTAATCCTCCCAAATTTTAATAATAAAAGGATCATGCATTAATGAGATATCCAATAACAGGAATAGCGACATCAAAAGTCCGAGCTCAGGGAAAAGACGATGTTTACATAGGATCCATAATTAAAACATACAACGAAATTTACACGGAAATTATGAAAAATGGGGAACTATAGTTATGCAATTTTTCAGCCCAAACGGTCCAGCCGTTGTGAAGTTATACCCATGATGGGAATGTAGAAATCCGCATCATGTTTAATGACATGTGAGGGTGGCGATGCGCAGGGAACTGGCCGTCAGAACCGAGATCCGCACTTCGGCAGATCGCAAAGACCAATTTCCATCCAAATAAGGAAGAGCCCGGTCAAAACAAAGCACGGAAAGTGCAAAACAACCTTAGATCATGAGGGAAAAATCTGAAATAAATCACAGAAGCCCATATGAAATATATAAACACCCGTGCATATCATAAATCCCGAACAATTAAACGGAAACGGCACCCACATACGAACAATTATGGGAACAACACATGTGATTACCGAATGTGTGTGCGAACTTTTGCTAACTCAACGAATACCAGGAAATAGGACACAACCTTAGTACCATTGGAAAGGTGGGAATAAATGAAAATTTATGACACCAAGAACGTGAGAAAACATCCAGAAATGAATGAGATACAAGGACATGAAGTTAGAAACCTGAAAACTCGTGGGAAGACAGCTTCAAGAGGTCCAGAGTCCTAAATAAAATACATAAAAATATGATATCTTCAAGGAAGACCTACTATAACAATGAACAATATATATGGAGGATTAGGATGTGATAATACAAAGGGGAATCAGGGAATATGAACGAAATTCATGATAACCACTAAACTACGACGGACCATGGCAGGAATTTTAGGGAATGATATTCTAATGAAGTGGAGAGCTATAACACATTCGTTTGAGTAATTCTTGACTACAAGCAACTTTTTCTTTCGGTTTTAAACCTGAATAATTCACTAATTTACCATTTCAGTCTCATTTTAACTAAATGTCACTAAATAAAAATGGAATAAATCAGCTGAAGGTCTCAGCACAGCCGTACGCATAGTAATGCGAAGTTTGAATTCAGAATCACCGAGTCATAGCAAATTTAATGGTATGTATAGGGAATTTGAAATAGGTAACTGCAACAAATGCAGCGCAGCCAAGTTCTAATTAACCATTAAAATAGCTTAGGCAAGGGAGGACAATAAGGATTCTAGGCACAGTCTGACCGCAGTAGAACTATAGCATGAAAATTTCATTTTTTATTCAGTTTGAGAAAAATACACTGTAAATAAATCCTGTAAATAGAAGGTAGAGCGTGAAAAAGGAAGGCAACCCAAGGAGTATAAAAAGGAGACCCTTTCTGCAACTTTTCGCCCCCCTTAGAGAAGTAAGAAAATAGAGTATTATTTTTCTCAAGCATTTCTGGTTGTCACTCCAGTGTGAAAAAGTGATATACAGTTAAGATTGCCACTGTAGTAAAAGGCAGCAATTAAGGAGAGAAATATTAAGTAAATATTTCAACAGGAGAGCTGGTTAACACTCCAGATTTCAAAGTGTAAACACAAAACAGTTATCTTGCTACTGTTAAAACAAGCAATAAAATAAGACAAAAATAAAACAAACTCAAGGGACACTCCAGACACAATCCAAATCCATTAACTGAATAGAATCTTTGAAACTTCACCAAGTAGAAGATTTAATTCAAGTTAAATTCCAAATTAAACAACGTTACACAGAATTACACCTAGACAAATTAAGAAATTTCAATAAAGAAACAGCTCTGCAGGGCTCGGTTTATCTGTAAGTCAATTCCCAGGAACTTTAAAACTAATCCATAAAAATAGAATTAGCCAAAACACTCGGATTGGTACTATATTTACAATAAATAATACTAGTACACTTCCCCATCCTAACTAAAGAACCAGGGAACAGCTTGGTGGTGGTCTTGTTTGAACCTCCCAACTGACCTTCCTTCGTTCTCTCCTTCAACGCACATCGATTTGGCAGGAAGGGATGAAAGCTGAGCCACAGCTGGTGATGCATTGGCATCAGAGCGCACAGTGGTGGGACTCAGATCAGTGTTGGAGGCTGCACAATCAACAGAATGTTGATGTGCTGAGGGCATCCCCAATTTGATGTGTTCAGGATTGGATGTTGATGCAACAGTGGATATGGATTTGGTTAAAAACCCAAAAGGCAGGGGGGAGAGGGATTTGGACAGGGTGTTGAGTGCTGGGGGAATGACAAATTCTGTTGGAAGGGACTTTAAGTAACGTCCCCGAGCCAGCACATATAGGTGTGGCATCGGAATTGAAGTCCACTCAGTGTGAACTGCGTCCAACCACTCAAACACGTTGTAACATGTATTAAACCCAATATCATCGTCCCAATGACTCCACAGAGTGTTTTGATGCACGATCCAAATGATGGCGTTGACACACTCGCTTGCAGAGATCAACCATCACTGGTGATCATCTGCAGCAACAGCGGACTTCAGGCTGTTGGCAATTGCATCTATCGCATTCTCCAACTCCTTCATCACTTCAACATGTTTGGGCCTATTCCAGTATTCAACAGAATCTTGTGGCAGGATCTCTTCAGGGCCAAGATCATGTCCATCAAGCCAGTACATCGCAGATCGGGTTTTGTACAGCAGCATATGTGTAATGCAAGGGGTGTGATTGAGGAAGACTCAGACAGTGCTATTCAGCATCTGGAATGCCCTCTCCTTGTGAGTTACATGCAAGTGCGTAAATCGACATGAGAAAGGCAAGTAGAAAGCCCAAGGTTGCAAGGATGAGCTTGAGGGGCCGTAAACACGTGGTTCTGCAGAAGAAACTGAGATGGTACAAGAAAGCACGTGTTTTTTGAAGCTGTCAGGGATGCATCCAGGGTGGAGGGGGCCTGGATGTAGTGCCTGGCAGAGGGACCCTCTCAGGGTGCGAAGCGGGTGTTGTAATGGGTCTATCACCACTAGACTTGAGACAGAAGAGAGGGAGAGGGTTGGAGTGGTTGCATGCACAGGTTTGTTAACTGGGAGTGGATTCCACTACTCCTCACTGTCTAGCTAACTATACAGCTGGTCATGGTATCACGGAAGAATCTGAAAATGACAAATAAGGAAAGAACAATAAGAAAGGGAAACATCGGGCTCTAGTGACTAGAAATGGAATCAGAAAAATCAGGAAAAAATAAGAAATATGCAGGAGAGAACATTGGCTAAGGGCGGTAGAATCGCAGGATTTGGCTTGTTTATGGTACACCAGCAAATCCCCGTTACAGCATGCATGCTGGCAGGCCTGATGTGGGACAGCAGTCCCTGGCCACTTATACTGAAGTGGAAAAGGTGAATTATTATTAAAAGGGAAAGCTACGCTAACTTACCTGAAGTGGAAAAGGTGAGAAGAAGGTTACTTCTTCAGTTCCCACTTCATGTACATGTGGCTTGAGTCACATGACGAGTGCCATGTCATCCTCGGAGACAGCTGCAGCCACCTGGGTGTTCCCAAGAGCATCCACTGCAGGTGCATGTGCTGGGCACAGCAGGAAGCCGTCCAGGGTGTCTGGGCTGGATGGGTCAATAGTACATTGATGCAAGGGAAAGTGGTCCATGTAAATAGAAGGAATAAACAGGAAGAGAATGATTGGCCAACCAACGAACTTTACCAGATACCAGAGTTTCTGGCGTAGCCACTTAGAGTCCAGTACCTTCTTGACCTTGTACTCTTCCTCTCCATCTACAAGTTCCGGACCTGAATGGGGGTCAGTGGGTTGTTCTGCAATATTGTCCAGGCAGTGTGGTCTGATGTTCGTTACAGATACGACCAGGTGGATTCCCTTCTGTCATGCAGTAAGTTGGAGTTTGATGGCGGCTGGGGAAACGACTTTGACGATCTTGAAGGGGCCAAGCCATTTGTGGTCCAGCTTTTTGGTCAGACAGTCAGTCATGTAATTTTGGGTGCTGAGCCAGATTCGGTCACCTTCCTGATACTTTGGGGTTGTTTTGTGATCTCGGTCATAGTAACGGGCCATCTCATCTGCTGCGTGTTCCAGTGCAGCCTTCGCCTCCTCCTGCATTTTCATCATCCTTGACGAGAATGCGTCAGCAGCTTCCACCTTGGATGTGCACATGGGCTCTGTCCCCATCCTGGGGTGTTGGCCGGTGTCGAGTTTGAAAGGAGTTCGGTGGGTGGATGAGTGGATGCGGTTGTTGTAGGAGAATTCCGCCAGTGGGAGCCAGTCCACCCAGTCGTCCAGTTGATGGTTGACGAACACCCGGAGGTAAGCTTTGATCTCTTGGTTGACCTGCTCAGTCTGTCCATCCATCTGGGGGTGGTAGGGCGCCAAAGGGGTCAGTTTGATGCCTAGAAGGTCTGTGAGCTCTTTTGAGAAGTGGGAGACGAAGGCACTCCCTCTGTTGCTGAGGATCTCCTCTGGGAGCCCATGGTGCCTCCAGACATGCTCTAGAAAGAGCCGTGCGATACCCTCCGAGTCTATGGTCGTCATGGTGGGGACCACATGGATAGGCTTGGACAGGTGGTCTACTACCACCAGGATGGCGTTATAGCCCTTGGACTCTGGGAGCTCTCCCACCATATCTACTGAGATCACCTGCCAGTGATGGGTGGGGACCTTGTTTGGGGTGAGCTTCCCAACTTTTCATGAGGGGAAGGATTTGACACAGTCCCATGTATGTACCACCTGACATACTCTGCCATCCGGGGCCACCAGTAGTCATGGGAGACAAGTTCCAGGGTTTTCCACCACCCTGGGTGCCCTGTTGCCCATGCATCATGGTGTAGCCGAACCAGGTTGTGGTGGAGTTGGGGGTCTTTTGGGATGTATACCCTCCCTCGGTACAGAACCAGCTTGCCTTGTCTTTCCCATTCATCCGACCTTAACATCCCCTCCCCCAGCTCTCGCATGGCCTTTACTACCCTCTCATCATGATCTTTTGCCCTGCATATCCGATCCAAGATGTCTACACTTCCACCAAGATTGCCTCTGTCACATGGGCCTCAAACCAGGCCGGTTGGAGGAGGGTTAACCCTTCATTGTCATCCTTTTGGGTGGTCAGCATGACAGGAGAGTGCATCCAGTTTTCCCATAAGCTTCCTGGGACAGTGGACAAGGGTAAAGTAGAAACAGGAGAGGAAGAGGGACCATCGAGCTTGGCATCGATTCAGCCTCTGGGCTGTCTGGAAGTACCCCAGGTTGCGGTGGTCGGTGTAGACCTCGACCTTCTCTTCAGCACCCTCTACGAAGTGTCGCCATTCTTCGAGAGCTCAGATGATTGCAAGCATCTCCTTGTTGTACACCTTGTAGTTATGCTCCATGTCCATGAAGCTTTTGGACATGAATGCCACCAGGTGAAACTCCCCATCGGGTTGGAGTTGGGAGAGGACCGCACCGGTTGTGAAATTGGAGGCATCACACTCGAGCCTGAAGTGGCTGGAGTCAGTGGGGAAGGAGAGAACTGGGGCAGTGGTGACAGCTTCCTTGAGGGTGCGGAAGGCATCGTCCTCACTCATGCCCCAGTTCCAGGCTTGGGCCTTTCGGGTCAGCTTGTGGAGTGGGCAGGCTTTCTCAGAGAAATCCTTGATGAGCCAGCGATAGAAGTTTACAAACCCCAGGAAGGATTGCACCTCCTTCACCTTGGTTGGGGTCGGCCAGTCGAGGACTCCATGGATCTTTACAGGGTCCATTGCAACACTACCCTCTGAGATAACAAGGCCGAGGTACTCGATCCGGGTCCATTTGAACTTGCACTTTTCTGGCTTCAGAAAGAGCCTTCTCTGCAGTGTCTCCAGGACTTCTCGGACGACCTTCTGGTGTTCCTCCAGGGTAGCCATGAAGATGAGAATATTGTCCATGTAACAGATGACGACTTCCCGGTCGATGAAGTCCCTGAGGATGTTGTTCATCATCGTTTGGAAAGTCATGGGGGAGTTACACAACCCGAAGAACATCACCATGGGCTCGAACAGCCCTCGGTTTGTTGCAAACGCTGCCTTCCACTTGTCCCCATCTTTGATCCGGACATTGTGTCACGGCCGTGCATTCCAGCCTGTTAGCCACCCATCCCGATGCCACCCAAGCCCATTCCCACTATGCGAGTGTGAGCACGAGCCCCAACCTCAGCCCTATCCTCCCTGAGGACTCCCTGCTCACTCCCCCACTTGCCCCTAGGCTCCCCTGCACCTGGCTGACTCCCCCACAGCCACACCAACCTTCCTGCCCTGAGTCCGCCTCCAGCACCACGCCCAGCGCGACTCCTCTACCCCACCCACTTGGCCCCTACAGGGCCACTACCATTCCCACGCCCAACTCCGGCCCAACTCCGCCGCTACGATACCATCACCGCTATCGTGGCCCTACACTCCTTCCTTTATTTATCTGTTATTGTTTGTTTTGACCCTCGGTCATTGCTGGCTGCTATGCGGCCAACCCCACTCCTTGTTCCCTTTTGCTTCCAGACCCCTCGGCCTTCGGCCTGGGTCTGCTTCCATTCATTCTTTCTCCCTATATATATCCTGTATGATACTTTATTGTACCTCAGCTCTAATATTGATTTGACCATGACCCTCTAAGTCCTGACCCCAACAAGGCAACCCCAGTAAGTCTGAAGTGAGGGCCAAGAGACAGCTAGGGGGCACAGCACTCCTTTAGAGTCGCTGAGGCCAAATGCCCTACCCTCGGGCTGTAATTTACATATATATACCTTGGAGTAGTTGTAAAGGCCTGGAAGCCTTTTACCTCTACCCCATTGAATATACAGCTCATCAAAGCTTATGTTTAGATGGACTAACTGAGGCCTGAGGCGAACGGGGGAACAGAATGTTACTGTCCCCAAATAAGTAAGCAACCCTTCACCTACTCCACTCCCCCGCTACCACTCCCTGCTCCTCCTCCTTCCCTTTTCTTCTTCTCTCTATTTCTGTTCCACAGTCGACTTCCTTCTTCTCTATGTATCACTACACATCTAACGCCACTCCCTGTCAGGGACCGACCTGGGGTCGAGAGCGCCTGGGTATATTGCCCAGGGCTGAGGGTCCGGTAGGTATGATGTGGGTGCGCGTAACAACAGGCCTGAAGCAGACAAGGGTCCCTGGCCACTCAGGCTAAAGTGGGAAATGTGAGAAGAAGGTTGCTTCTCAGTTCCCACTTAGGCTGTGTTTATATACATGTGGTTGAGGCCACATGGGAAGCGCCACGTCATCTACGCACACAGCCACATCCATCCGGGTACCTCCATAAGAGGTCCTAGGAGCATCCGGTATGCAGGAGGTCATCTGGTGTGTCCGGGTCCAGGCACGTTACACTGCAGCCAGGTCAATGGAACATTGATACAAAGGAAGTCATCCATGTGATAAGAAAAGAATAGAGGAAAGAGAAGAGAAAGAAGAAAGAGAAGAGTAAAAGGGGAAGAGGGGGGAGGTCGGGAGGAGCGGATGGTGGGGCACCAGGTCAGGTGGGGCCAGGTCAGGTGGGTGTGCCCTGACACTCCCCCAATCGCCGCACCCACCATCTGCATCCCTGTCCACACAGCAGCACACCTCTGGGATCTCCTGTGGAGACACCCAGAGAAGTGTGTGTCAGGGCACACCCGCCTGACCCAGCCCCACCTGACCCGGTGCCCCACCATCCGCTCCTCCCGACCTCCCCCCTCTTCCCCTTTTACTCTTCTCTTTCTTCTTTCCTCTCTTTTCTCTTCTCTTTCCTCTTTATTCTTTTCTTATCACACAGACGACTTCCTTTGTATCAATGTACCATTGACCTGGCTGCAGTGTAATGTGCCCGGACCCGGACACACCAGATGACCTCCCACATACTGGACACTCCTAGGACCTCTTACGGAGGTACCCGGACGGATGTGGCTGTGTGCGTAGATGACATGGTGCTTCCCACATGGCCTCAACCACATGTATATAAACACAGCCTAAGTGGGAACTGAGAAGCAACCTTCTTCTCACATTTCCCACTTTAGGCAAGTAGCTTACATTTCCCTTGTTAATAACAATAACACATTTCCCATTTTAGCCTGAGTGGCCAGGGACCCTTGTCTGCTTTGGGCCCATTGTTACACGTGCCCATGTCATACCTACCGGACCCTCAGCCCCAGGCAATATACCCAGGCACTCTCGACCCCGGGTTGGT